AGGCACTTCTAGAAGACAGAGAAATGGGAGAAGCTCTATATTGTATTAAGGGATCTAAATTTAAGTCAGATTAGCATATCCTAGCCACTGCAGAAGTCTCACTCTCTCTTTCTCTTTTCCTGCTGCGTCTCAGTACTTAATCTCATGTTAAATCTGTGTCTCTAGCGGTTTTTCAAGGGGGGAAATGCAGTGCTAGAGGAGAGGACCGTCATCACAGTTCACTTGCCCTAGGACTCTGTTAGCAAACCTCTATAGCTAGCAATACTCTGGCCCTTGGGCTGGCTGTTTGTTGGTCATCGGTCACTGGTAAAAACAGAATTGTGTAATCTACATCCATATTGACAGATGTGTGGAAATCAGAATATAAAATATCTGCTCCCCAGATCTAGGACTCATACTTGCAGGGCTCCAGGAAGATTTATTCAGAGCTGCTTAACACAGTTTAGTTCAATTTTGCTAATCTTTGAACCACTGTGTATTCAGCAAGTATTAAATGAATATTTTAAGTAAATAATTTAATTTCATTAAGCTATATAATATTTAGGCCACAGTCCTCTCTACATCCATAAAATATTTCACTGTAGATCAGCTATTAGCATTATCAATGGCTTTTCTTATAAGGAAAGCCAGATTATGACTTACTAGTATCTAAAGTAGTATCAAGAATCAGCATCTTCAGCAGATCTCTCTCCATTCTGCATGGATTAACAGTGAATCTCTTCATATTTAGTTCCTTTTTCGTACATATTTATTCATTTTATATTTTATTATCTATTTTTCTTTTCATTGTGATTTAATAACAATTATAATCTTTAATAGTTTTTTTTCTCAGGCACACTATTTCGTTGTCTCAGTTACCAAAGCTGATTCTCCATTATGAAAACTTTCTGTGTAGCTTCAGAAACAGCTACTCAGCCCTCCTGGGAATTGCAAACATGACCATGACATTGTAAGGGTACAGTAATAAGAGCTTCCCTCAAGTGATATCTTAAGGGTTGTTAAAAGGGGACAAATATATTGATGTTCTATGAGCTACTTACTGCCTCTGGAGCAGTTTGAGGCAGATGAAACAGAAAAGAAGGACGGCTTATGGCCTCAAAGCAACTACTTAGGCTTGATTTCCCTTGTACATCCCACAGTGCTGCAAGTGTCTTTTAACCACATAAGCATACTGCTGCCTGCATAACTGCTTAAACAGCACCTGCCACAGCCTGAGGAGGCTGTGCAGTGTGAAGGTGTGCTAAGGTAGAAAAATGCTCTTCTTGGGTTAGTCACAGTTGGCCATAACAACAACTATCAGAAAAGAATGTGACCTAGACACTGACTTCCAAGAAAAGCCACTTGGACTTTCTGGGGGAAGGAAAAATTGTACATACTGACTAGAATATACATTTTTCCACTATAATATTGGTTTCAGTGTGGACATTGCATGGAAATCATGCCATCCCAGCAGATCTGACATGAGACATGTTACCAAAGAACATGTGTAAGAGAGAAAGATGCAAGGTCACATGCATATATACCAGTACATTCACTTCGTACGCATAGGTACAGCATGCAGCAAGGTAGCAATTTTGGTGCCTGTATCACACTTGAATCCCTGCTTTGGCTAGACTTACAAACACAAAGACATGACCTCTGTTTCAGGGAAAAATTATTATCATTTAGGAAGCCCTTAATAGCTCTTCTTTCTTTAGCATTACAAAAATTTGTCCATTCTATGGATTGCGTGCATGTCTATATTTAGCTGTGGTCTGAAACCAGCGTCATGTGTTAATTTGTTACTCAGCCTCAGAAAAACTGCAATACCACAAAGGTTTCATATAAACCTCCTAGCTGCTCTCTGTGACATTCACAACGCATATCAGAATGAACGAAGAGCTTACCTTTTATGTACTGTGAATGAATTAGAGCAATGCTCTTAGCTGCTTGTCTGTCTCTTTCCCCAGCTGAGATGACTCTATAGATATGTCTCTTCTGATCCATTCAAGTATCCAGTCAAATAGGTTAAACCACAGCTAACCTGGCTTTGAATTCGAACTAGAATGCAGGAAGAGAAAGGGGCTTGACGACTGGATGCTGGCTTCAGCTGGGAAACAACAGCACAACCTCTGCTGGCTGCCTCCTAGCTGAAGCTCACTTCTGCTAATGCAAATGGGGTTTTTTCCATTCTTGTTCACTAGCAAAGTTTATGCAGGTGGTTCTGATCTCAGCCAGGAAGGGCACAAGCTAACATCAACCCTTCCACACTTAGACCAGCAACTGCTGCAACTGCAGTGCTCAGACCGACTTCTAGCTGCTGTCTTTCTCCTGTGCTGTCTTCCACTGGTGACATAGCCAACAGTCAGCAAAGCAGTGACAGAGGAGTGTCTGCTGGGTAGCCACCAGTCTGCCTGGGGAGTTGCCACATATTGAGTTCATTTTTCAGGGCTACACCAGAACAGAGCAGATGAGAAACACAGTGGTCTTGACTGGGAAGCAGTGGACAGGTGACTGGCGTGTCCATAAACTCACTGGGCCTAAGACAACAGCAGAAGTCTAAGTCACACATTCTGTGGAGTTAAGCAAAGATATTTTCCACTTTGAGACTCTTTTTTTTAATTCTTTTTAATGGTTTGAGTTTTGGTTGTTTTTTGTGTTGGCCAATGTTTACAAAAGTACAAAACCAAGAAAAATATTATTCAGTATAATTCCCCTGACAGATCACTCAGTTCTAGTTCTGGCCTCTTCATAATCCCACCTCTTTTCTCTTCTTTTCTGTGGTTACAATGTATTCCTTTTGCCCTCTTTTTATTCAGAATATCTTTCATTTTGTTAGGGTTCTGTTGTCCACAGCTGTTCCTCTCTTCCTCCTTAGTTCAGACAAACTTAACAAACTTGCAACTACTTAAAAATAATCCACATCAGAGCTAAAAGATTATTTATTGCTCCTTGTTTAGGACCACAGTATTTTTGTGCTGAGATCTTTGTAATAATTCAAGCCCACCTGAGTGTTCAGGAAAGAGACCTGGATCTCTTATCCCACCTTTCTCTGGAGAGAAAAAGAATGTACAAGCAACAGCCAATGTCTATTGACACACCAGTTATGCATATATTAACCATTCTGATGCTCCTTAGTTTTTCTTCCTAATTTGTTTTGAAAGAAGAATATAGGATCCTATAAGGAGAAAATGTCACTTGTTGAACTGTAATACTTGCTGATGTGATGCCAAATAAACTGGCTTTGCAACAGACCTAGATTTGGTTGATGCATTTCCATCACTCCTCACCGCCATGATTTACTATGATGTATGAGAGAGCGACCGCTGCTGTCCAAGGCTGCGGAATTAACAGAACAAATGTCACAAAAAAGAAATCTTCAGGGTAAGGACCAGCTTGATGAAGAGTATGATTCTGACAATGGCTGGTCAGAGCAGAACTTCTAGCTACGCAGGTTCTGCTGAACTGTTAAGTGAAAGATTGTATGGTGTAGATATCCTTTTGAAGATGCTGGAAGAGAAATGTGGGGGAAAATCCTGACCTTTTCTGATGTAAACACCAAAATTGCCATTCGCTTTGTTAAACCAGGACTTTATGCATTGATTGAAGCAGAAATCAGTTTTGAAGCTGAGGCAGCAAATGGTTGAGCTGGGATTTGGGACACAGATTTCAGGAGTGTAGATAGGAATCAGAAAGCACCATCAGTTAGGAACGGAACCAGAAACTGAGCAGGCAGATATAAAAGTCCTGAGAAATTCATGTCATTTTAAAATTGAACATCCTAACTAGTGTCTATCTAAATATGTTTTTTTAACAATTACTTACAATTACTTTTATTATGACATCATAGAAAGAACTAATGACTTATTAAGAGAACTATTATGAAAATAATGAAATTCAGAAGATATTTCCAAGCACTTAATAAGCCTAAAATAAAAACATAGCAGCTTGACTTTATCTGAAGCTCATTTCTGTATGCCTAACACCATTGTTGCAGCATAATACACAATGTATTAAATTAGTATATGATAAGCTCATAAATCAGTCCATTACATAAATTTTGTTAATATGATAAATTTTAAAGGACTATTAATGTGAATAATTTGCTATAAAATGCCATTTTCGGAAATAAAAAAGGGTTACGAAAATATTTATCAAAAACTACTGGAAAACGTAACCAAAACACTTAGTATCTCTAAGAAACAAATAACTACATACCTTTCCCTGTTAAATTTAGAATTAGGAAGTGTTTTCCTTCAAATAAGGAAGAAATCTATGTATTTCTTGCTGTGAGAAACTTTCATGTATACATTATTTAAAGTAACAGCATTGCCTTCAGCACCATTCATATGTGACTGATACTAGCATTGAGCAAGAGCATTTCTGTGAGCAAACAATAGGGTCTTTTGTACTTGTTTGGGAGTTGCTTGACGTTCAGTATTTGGAAAAGTTAGGCCTTTTAATCGGCTTCCTAAAGTTGCCTGAGCTCAAGTCCTTGATTTCTCTTTGAATCTCAGTCGTCGTACTTTTGAGTCAGAACAGTTTGGATGGGAATAAAGGGAGAGATTTAGCAGAATCTCCTACTGATACGCCACACTAATCTTACTACATTAAGCTTAAAATTAAAAAAAAAGACAATGTAGATTTTACAGAATGAGAGAGCAACTTTTTTTTGCATACAGCAATATTTCCAAAAAAGTGGCATAACACTTCATTGCACAGAGGAACTTTCCTATGTCATAATGATTTCTGTTTTGGTCATCTATTTGTTTTTATAGAGAAAGAAGAGTTCCAGAGCTTATCAAATTCTTAAATTTTCAATTTTTCTGTCTGCTTTCTTTCCAGTAGATACTCCTCTTATAATGAGGACTGTACATACTAAAAATCACTGAAAACAAAATATTCATCTTTCATTAGATAACAAATACATTTGACAGTGTAAATTCTTTAGAGGGTGCACTAGTTCTTGACAGTAAAGAACATTCTATTTCTGTTGAATATTTCTTCTTTGTTGTGAAAAGGAAAGTTTACATGTATTGAAGTCCGATTTCACCTTGAGAGACAGATGGGTTACTATCTCATCCAGATGTATATACCAAGCCTCTTGATCGTCATTCTCTCCTGGGTGTCATTTTGGATCAATATGGATGCAGCTCCAGCCAGAGTGGCTTTAGGCATAACAACTGTACTGACCATGACAACACAAAGCTCAGGTTCACGAGCATCTCTTCCAAAGGTAGGCAGAATTTCCTTTGTTGGTACTACATTAGTGTAAAGTCATAATGCTATGTGACAAATAAACACCGTCAGTCAACCTTATAATAAGTGTTTAATTGTTAGCACTTAAGCATCTTCTAAATGACATAAAGAATTTTGAAATATTTAGGTGTTTTTTGAGTCACCAATCAAATATATTCTATTTCTCTCCTGCCTCAACTATTTAGCTAACCACATATCTACCAAATGCCATAAACCTCAGCTAGTGATGAAAGAAATGTTATTCAGTACTACATAAATGCTGCCTAGCAATTGACTAGCTCGTCCTTTTCCAGATTCCAGTATCCAATGACAGGCTAGCAGGTATGACTGAATTTCTAAAGCTCATAGACTCCAACCAGTTTTCAACGACAATCCTTTCCCAAAACCTGCCTATATTATGAATTAACTCACTAGTTACAAATATATTTACATTAAAATGTAGAAAAATGGGAGGCTAAATAACTCCAGATAGTTGTATAAAGAATGGTTCATTACACAATGTAAATAGCTTAAAGTATATTTCTGTTTAATTTGTCATTGCTTTAAAGATTTTCATTTTAAGGATTATTCCTTGACCTTCTTCATGCGCCATTGCAGTTAACAGAAATAAACTGTATACAATAAAAATCCACGAAGTCCACTTCTGTCTTAGTTTTAACATGGCATTTTTAAATTTGTTAATTAGATTCTTTTTCTGAGTAAAATAGATAGCCCTAACAGAGGTGAGCGCATTTTGCACCTCAAATACATGCATCTGAATGCTTCTGAAATGTAACATAAACAGATAAGAAAACGGAATGCTATAAAAACTCTGGAAAACAAGAATGTAAGAGGTTACCAAAGAGAGCTACAGATGTTTTGGTTATGTTGGCTTACATGAAAAAGCTCTTGTAAATCTTCACACAGAGAGGGAACAGGCCCTGCTTTCCTAGTTTGCATTATGCCCTGTAGCTGAGCTTGGTAATAAAGGATTGCAGTCATTTCATCTACTCTGTAATTGATTTTCAGTATTTTCACTGTGTCAAAATTACAGGACTAATCTGAACTACATCTTTGATTTACCATGCCTGTATTAGCAGAGAATGAACATATCAGAGTTCTCCATCTATCTCCCTTCTTCTACCTAATTTCTATGCCAGGAACTTTAAATCAGATCCATTATAATACAGAAATTCCCACTGGTCCTACTATAAGCTATCCTCTGGTTCCTTAGTATCATTGACAGATCTCAGTGGGACAAATGGAGGCAGAGCATGAGATTCTTGTGGATTATTTGGTTTGTGATCAAATCCACAGTACACTATGAGGAACGGTTAATGGCATAAACAGTAAACACATTTTGTGAAAGATTACATTTTCAGAAATAATATTTAATGCTTATAGATTGAATTACTGCCCCTCTTATTATCTAGCTTTCATGTAAACTTTTGTTTGGTAGAAGTAGTGTTGGGATGTGGAGATATTAACGTACTTCCTCCTGACGTGAAAGACTAAACTTCACATCTGTGATTTTAACATGTTCAGTCTTCTGCTCTGTTCTCTTCCTAGGTGTCATATGTCAAAGCGATTGACATCTGGATGGCTGTGTGTCTGCTCTTTGTATTTTCTGCACTTTTGGAGTACGCAGCTGTAAACTTTGTGTCAAGGCAGCATAAAGAACTTCTGCGATTCCGCCGCAAGAGGAAGAAGAACAAGGTAAAAGTAACAGCACTCACAACTTTGAAAGAGAGCTGAGATTGATTTATGCCAGGATATAGGGTTAATTTGGTAAACATACCGCAGCTTAAAGTGGCAATATAAATAAAATGGCAGCACAGAATGACATTCACTATAGGCAGGGGGTTACTGCAAGGACTATGCACTGCATAAATCCAACTGGAATTCGCGAAAGAGGGATTAGGAGGGATTTAAATGAGGCATGGGCCATGTGGGAGCCATCTGCACAAGCATGTGAATGTCACTCTGCTAGAAGAGTCAGATTATATATACTTCAGTGGACGAATGTTACTGGTATTTGCAGCAGTTTGTACTGCTCTGAGATTCAACAAGTAATGTTTTTTAATTTCATTCTAGTATTCGGTTCAAAGCCTTAACATCTATGTTTCATGTAAATACTTTTAATATAAAAGCATTTTTTCAGTTAATGATGTTGGTGGAAGCACAAACATTTTACTTTAAAATGATGAGTTTTTTCCTTCTGTCATGTTAATTTAGAGCAAATTGTTCAGACAATTAGTAAGAGACTTTAATACAGTAATGGTTATTAATATTTATTTTATACAGTAAAATTAGTCACTACCAACGTGCAAAGTCAAACAGTGAAAGCTACAGGTCTGAATTCTGAAGTCTGCAGTTAAATCAAGTAATAAGCAAAATATCTTACAACTATATGTAACTCCTAATTCTGATTTTTGAAAGAGTAAGTATTTCTCCAACCTACTCATTAGCTGAGTACCCACCACCGATGTCACGCAGAGCCTTTCCACTGGCTTTCAGTCACTGCCTAGAATATTACCATGAATGAAATTCTGACTGCACCAACATGACTCAGTTCAGCCATCTTTCACTCCTGATGGCTGACCTCAACTTACTACTTACATCACAAGAAGAAGACATTTCACAGGTTGTCTCCTTTAGAAGGTATTGAAAAACTGCAATGCTGCAAAGCCTACCTAAACAGTCTCTGCTAGCAAGCTTCCATGTTATAATTCAGGCTGGACAATCAAATGAAAATGACATTTTCATATATTTGCCTGTTCCTGTGTGTCAAGTCCTAGATTTCTTCAGGTGTAGAGAGGAACTCATGTACTGCAGCCTAGAGGATGATTCAAACTGGATGTATCTGTGAAAAATGTGCTTTCTTCTTTTGGCTAACAGTAGCAGAAAAAACACTTTCTAAGACACGTAGGAGCGAAGCAGCATTTTTGTGTCAGGGTGTTTGTTTCTGAAGTATGGCAGCTGTCTGAAAGCTGCTTAAAGGTTTGGAATGAGGGAATGGGACAGGCAGAGACGGATTACCAGACAGGGGGCAGGTGAGCCACAACACATGCATCATGTATCACATACAAACAGCTGTGGTGAGTGATATATTATGCGACTGAACTTTTAGTCTATTCTTTTTTTTCATTATGTATTATAGTGCCTTCTGGATCTTGGGCAAATTTACCATATTCAACTTTAGTGATGTCTTTTCCTTTAATACATGTTAGTTATTATAATCGCAGAGTTAGAAACTGGCAGGTAATATTACCTTCCTTTCTCAGAATCAAACCAAATCTCTTTCCAACCCTCTCTTAGAAAGACTTACAGCTCACCAATCAGCTTAGAGGAATGTGAGGGAGGTTCCCTAATATACAAAGCACTTCTAAGAGAAGATTGCTTAACAAAAAAAGTAAAGTGGATCAGTGCTTGACTTCATGGCATTTATGAATTCACACTTAAAAGTCCTTATTCTAATTTTACACTTCATTAGACAGTCTTCTAGCTTCAGGTAGGTTGTATTCTAGGTTCTTACAAAACTAGAGGATTAGACTCAGAGACTGCAGGGTCTATAGCAAAGTATGAAGTACCCCCCTTAGATTCTGAAGGATGAAGACATGCATTTCAATGCTTTTCTTCCCATACATATTCAGGTGAGGGTATTAGCTATATTCAGGGGTATATGGTTTTCCCTTCCTCCCTGTATCTGTATGTTTCACCATGAGACAGCTTACTCCACCTACATTTACCAAAAAATGCTTTGTTCCCATACAAGGTAATGATTTTGACAAATTTTTGACTTTTTTCTGAAAAGATTAACTGAAGTGAAAGTTTCTTGACTGACTCCAAGCCTATGGAGAGCTAGAGCTCCCGGCCAGAGTTAGCCTTTAAGAATACACCTTCTCAAGCTCTAGAGACAGCCCAGCTAATTGCTTCTCTTTTTCTCAATGTTGTATTAAACTGTTCCTTGCCCAACAAGTGTACTAGAACTTGAAGCAATAAAAAATGGAGATTTTACCTCTTCAAAAAATTTGGATTGCATCCTAAACCCTCTGGTATACAAACTTATGGATTAAAGAAAGCAATTAATAACTAGTGTTCCTTACCGCAAAAGTTATTATTTATTCTCCACAATTTCTAACATGAAATGCAGACCCTAGGGTTATAAGTCAAACTAACTACTTTTTTCTTCCTCTTTTGTCTTTCTCAAAGTTAATTACTATAGCTCATGATTATAAAATTTTGTACGTGTTTGTTATCCCTTTGGACTAGGTCAAACAGCCACTGTCTCTCAGGAATTAGATTGTATTACCTTTCAAAACTATGATGTATAAAGAAAAGTTCATTTGACCACAAAGTCAAAAGATGTGAAAAGAAATTAGGTTAAAAGGCTGTGTTTAGAATAAACTTCAGGGGCTTCCCTGAACATTAAATTCTCTTTCTTTTCAAAGTGAAAAATGCTATTCTATTCAGTATTTATGCCCAAATAGATCAGAGAAATAGAGCAGTTAGGATAACTTGTCAGACTTTTCCATCCTATGTGCTTACAACGGTGGGACATCTTACCAGGATTAGTTTTTTTTGCCAGGTGTATTCCAGCTGATGAATACCAAATATTTTGGCACTGGCATTTTTTTTGCAAGGGTACAGCAAAATTCCTAGTGGTTTGACTGTGTTGAAAAGTCCGAAAATATAGATGTTTGGAATTGTTTCATTTCAGGTACATGTTGACAGAAGAGAATATGCATGAATAATATCTAATTGCAACAGGGCAGCTGAAGAATTTCCGAAGTCTATTTTCTTTATAAATAAAAGACTTGCTTTTTGCTAGAAATATTTACTTTTCTCATGTAACCCTAGCAACAGTCAGACGATTGAATTTCACTGCTGGAATGCCCTTAGGAGGTCAGTGAATCCATTTTCCTGACCTCAGTCAGGATCAGTTATACCTAATTCTTCCCAGTCATAAAAATTCCACAATCTCCCCTGCAATCTATTCCAAAGGTTTAGAGAGTTTTTTACTCATGCCTTTTTTGGCCTCTCCTGGTTTGTCTAGAAGGGACACAGAGACTGTTTCATTCCTTTATGTAGCCATTTGCACATTTTCATTCAGTCTTCTTTAAATATTCTCAGCTGATTTTTTTTTTTTTGCTCATTCTCATTCTCCTTCCCTGGAAATCCTCCTAATAAGTCCATATAATTCTTCAAAACTCTGTTTGCAACATGGAGCCTAGCCAGTAACAGTTGAGGGCTGCTGAAGGATCACATCACGCAAGTTCTACGCTTATTTATCCAAACCAGTTGGCTATTTGCATTTTTAACCAACAGCATGGTACTGAGACATAGAAAAATTGTGACCTTTCATAGCTCCCAGGTCTTTTATTAGAACTACTGCAGAGCCATTCACTTTCTGTTTAATGTTTGTGAAGTTGATTATTCCTGGCTAAATGTAGTACCTTGTATTTGCATCTACTGACTCTCCTCCTGTATTTTTCAGACTCTTTGTCCAAATTATTAAATTCATTTTTAACTCTAAACATAGCCTCAAATATTTTTTCCCAGATTGGAGTCTTCTGTAAATATAATCACGAATATGGATTATTCCTTCTCAGACCTGATTAAAAACACAGAACTGAAATTTCTCTCTTCAAAAGCATATGATTGAAATCAGATAAAACGCCTGCAGTAAACGAGTGTAGCAAACAAAATAAGAGCTGTTGAAATTTATGGAAAATTATACAGGTATGCAAAATCTAATTGTTTACGGAGGTGTTTCAAGACGTTTTGGCATCCAAAGCCCATCCATCCTTGCCATTTTCCTTATGCTTTTTCCACCTACAGTCACTACCTCTTTCTTACACCACCTATAACATTTGCAGCCTACCTTCCTAGACAACAGTAACAGCAGCATCAAAGGCAATTCTTAGATATAACTGCCCCCTCTGGCTGCCGTTTTTATAGTTGTAAGTATGGACCTCCCTCAATGGTTCCAAATAACTGAAAGGCAACTTTCCTTTCAGAGGCGCAATCCAATTTGCACAGAATTAAAAAAAATTTTGAAGGGTCTGGTATTGTATTATAATATGTTTATAAATAAAAAATTATTACAGCAACATAAAATGCAACACACTCATTGCTGCTATACAATAGGCATCACAATACGTATAAGAAGCTTTTGAAAAAGACTCTCATTTCTTTGTGACTATACAAAGGGCATAATGAATACTGAGAACAGGGGAATTTTGGTTCTCAATTTGAGACTTCATTTGGTAGTCAGTATATGATCCATAGTCTTTCATCTCTATCAGAGAAAGAAATCTGACCAATGAACACAACTATTTAATGAATATTATATTACTAATGTGATTGAAACATTCCTTCAGAATGAATGAATATCAGTTATTCATATGCAGTTACAATCCTTTCAGTCTTGAAAGACAAAAGGAAAAAAATGGCAGAAATAGAAGTTCTACAGGGATACTGAAACATACCTATCATCAGTGCTTATTCTTAGTTGCATTTACACTGTACAGGGAAAACTTAACTGTGTACATATACTGAATAACAGTACTGATTTTAGATTAGCTTTCAGTGTATTTAATTTTCAGGAATACTCAATCTTTTAATTCTATTTTCAAAAATCTAAAGATCACCGTATCTTTAGTGAGGAAAATAGACGTGCAAACTAGGTCGTTTTTAATGGTAATCACACCTCTTTTCTTTTGTTTTCTTTTTGGTCAACCCATCCATTTTGATGAAAGTATTTTGAGGGAGTTCTTGATGGAAATGAAATCAATGAATCATTGCAGCATAGCAATGGCTTGAGATGTACAGGACCTATAGACGGGACTTTGCCTCAAATCTACAGTACAAATTTAAGGGTAAACTATGAAGAAGATGTCCCATTTGTCATAATGTGATATCCAATCATTAACAAAGGCCCTGTCCTTTTGTCTGGAATAATGTCTTCCCATGTGAACTCCATATACCTTCATTGCTATCTGTATGTGATGACGTGAAATGTTAGTAAAGGTATCTGTCCTGTTAATTTCATAATCCATTTTGATCTGTTTAAATCTGGGTTAAAATGTAGTGTTAAAATATTGCTTTCTGCAATTTCAAATGAACAGTGACATCAGTTCAAGGAGAAATCAGTTGCTACCAGCACAGTATTTAAACCAAGCTGTTTGCAGTGCGAAACAACTCATTAACACTTATCTTCTCAAAAATGAACAGTAAAAAATGTAATGTTGAATTATCAAAGCCAGGGCTTCAAGTAAGTCTTCAAGTTGTTACCACAACCTATAGTCAAAAGGCTATAGAGGTATTTTCAATCCTCATGCATATCACTGCTCAAGAGAAATGTATTATTAAATATACAGACAGAAAGCAGAGTAGTCACAGGGCCACAGAAACTGATAGCTTTCTGATACTGTATAGCTAAGTATTTTGGAGAACAACGCTGATGTGAAAATGAACAAATTGAAATTATTTCCTTCAGACCTCAAAAGAATTCTAACTTTCTAAATAAAAATTGTTATCTATATTTATTTCCCATCTTTAGTTGCAGTAATTTAAAAACAGATATTATAAAATATTTACAAGTAGCTGTAGCTGTATGCTGAATAACTTTCAAATGGTTAATTTCATAGCCATATATGTGAAAAGCATATTCACATTGAACCTTTATAAAAGTTCATTCATAATAAAATTTTAAAAGCTTTGTCAAAAATCACTAAGAAACCATTCACTTTTTCTAGTAATGATGTACTAAACAGATGCAGAAAAGATTAAAAAAAAAGCAGCTTCTTTATTAGATTAAAAAAAAAATTCAACCAAAGTGCAAGACTTTTGAGGAAGATTTACTGTTCAGATTTTCAACTGGGACATAGAAGGTACTTCCATTAGATGATTTCAACAGCTGTGGACTTGGACACGTGCATCACGAAAAATATTTCTGGTAAAAAAGAGGGACCGTAGGCAAGTCACTTGATAAAAACAAATGTGATGTCACTCACATTTTATAAAAATGTCTTCAAAAAAGCACTCAAATTAATGTCAGTAATAACATTAACTGCATCTTTCCTGCTGTGCACGAGCACCCTCACATACGACGCTGAGGTCAAAAAAATTCTTTTTCTGCATTATGAACCTCTTGGAAAACTTGGAGAAGCACATATTCGATATTCCAGTTGGTACTCCAGAAAAAAAAAAAAAAGTATGGTGGTACCCGGCATGTTACAGTGCTCAGGAAAGTGCCCTTTCCTGCATATCCATTAGCCCCAGCACTTGGGTCTGACTTGGCAGGCTCCAGCCATCCCACTTGTCCTCATGGAGTCACCATCCAGCAGACAGTGGGCAGAAACACTAGAGTTCTAGAAGGACCTTCACATCACTTCCTCAACAAGGGGGAGCACTTCCAAGCAGCCTGCTTGCACACTAAGTTCAGGATGTCTGCGAGCAAAAAAATAAGCAGAGACATAGCCTTTAAAGCCACTCTAGGGGAATCATTTAATTCAGGTAAGCAAAGAACAGAGATAGTAAAGTCTTAGTATGTAGTGCCTCATCCTGAAGACATACCCAACTGAAAGCTTCTACTCAGGAAAATTATTTTATTATCCTTTTGAGCCTGTGCAATCATAACCATTGTTTTCTGGAGAAGCATGAAGAGATTTAAAGCCTGAATTGTACATATGAAGGTGTTTAAAAGGCAAGTTTGTTGTAAATCCTCACAGTCTATGTATTTGTAACTTCTGCTAACAGGAATACAATCCTACAAATCTTCTGGAATACAACTACTCTAAAGGTGTTATTTCCCATTCTTTTCTGACAGGAGAGGAACACTATTTTAGTAATTAGGTCTTTGATTTATCACGTCATCAAATATTTGTCCTACCTTTTTTGTATTTCTGTTATTCATTTCCACATTGAAGTCAGTCAGTGATTTTTCCTCCTCCTTTGCTTTCATGCTAATTTTTCTTTATTTTTTGTTTTTATAAAATAATTCTAAGACATATTTGAAGTACAGTAATTTCAGTGAGCTAAATTAGTCTACAAGTTTATTTAATCTATGTGTATAAAAAAAGTACTGCAGTCAACTGATAACTACAGCTCTGCTGGATGCTCATGCTTATTGCCAACTAGTTCACTTCAAACTTAGTAACTGATCAGCATTCTTCTGTAGATAACTTATTGAACTAATATTGCTAATAAACATGAATTTTTTTTGAAAAACTGGTTAGCAATGGTTCTTCTAGCAAGTACTATTTAATTGAAAATTTAAATATGTTTATAATTAAACCTCCATTACAAAACATTATCAGATTTCCCACGTCACAGGCATTTTCAAAATGAAAACTTTGGAAGTTTAGATTTAAAATGTGTGTGCTGAGAAATTACATTTCTATAAAGTAAGAGGTTTTAAATAAAACAAAAATACTTCAGGATTACGGAACTGAAACACTAATTATTTTACTTGCTTTGGTAAAGATATTGTTTTACACTTTTATTTTGATTTTAGCTAGGAAGAGCTTCAAAATATCAAAAATTCTCCTACAAAAGGAAAAATCACTGCTGCTGAAATATTTTGTTAATACCTATGGAAATTCTTTTCCAAAAACCTTATTTAAGAAGTAAAATATAAAAAATACTTTGTCATGCTTTTTAAAAGTCTCGAATCCTAAAGCAACTAGGCTAAATTAGACATGAAAAATAGGAAATTCTGAATTTAAAATTTGTATTTAAAAAATTATGAAGCCATCAAAAGACTATCCTTGAATAGCGTACATAGTGAGGAATATATATCAGAGCCAAATTGGGCCCTGGCTTCACAGTCTATTTATCATTTATTTGCCTGCATTTGTACTTCCTTCGTTACTTTAGAATGCCTATAAACAGGTGAAGAGAAATGCAAGATGTGTCTCCAGACAGAAGTTACCTTCTTGAAATGCATGCCATGAAAATTTCTATATCTTCAGAACATCTACTTTTGTTTCTGTACAACGTGATTAAAAAGTACTTTGTCTTCCAGCTCCCTGAATTCAGAATGTCTTTGCCATTTTTCTTCTGAAATGGCAGAAGTATGAGTGAGAAGGAAAATCTGGCCTTTAGCTTTCATTCACTTTAAACAAAGACGGTTTACATACTATTCTCTTTATCTGTTGTATTCACAGGGAACAGCAGAAATAAGGCATATAGATCACATTGTCTAAATGTACAGTGACCAAAAAGGCAGAATTCTCACTCATGTAATTAATTTGAAGATCATTACTGCCTGTACGATGAGTATCCCAGGATCCCCTTTTGTTTAGCAATGTACAGAGTTAATGGCTGTTTTCGAAAAGACCAGTGTGAAGTTTGCCCAGTTGAAGACTGTGGATAATTACTGTACTTGAGGAAAATCAAAATAAATCAGAAGTTGTGTGCCAGATTACCTCTAGTTTACTGAGCTTTCTCTGTTCTCTAAATAGACTACAGAATCCATAAACAAATACGAGAAATCTGTGCTTGTTAAAGCTGCTGCAGTATTTTTGACAGACATTGATAGGGTTGAAATTTCAACCAGTTAAGATAAACTGTGGATTCAAGAAGTCACTGAGGTAACGGTGCAGTACTTGCTATTTGCCAGCTGATAAGCTTTCCATAAATAAAAGAAGCTTCTTGCTTTTGTTCTTTCTTTTTTTTTTTTTTTTTAACAGGATGATGATGTAAGGGAAAGTCAGTTTAGCTTTACAGCATATGGAATGGGCCCTTGTCTGCAAGCAAAAGATGGAGTGACGCAAAAGGGGCCAAATAATCCTGTTCAAGCTGCACCAAAAAGCCCTGATGAGATGAGAAAGGTATTCATTGACCGGGCCAAGAAGATAGACACAATATCCAGAGCTTGTTTCCCGTTAGCCTTTCTGATTTTCAATATTTTTTACTGGGTAATTTACAAAATCATCAGGCATGAGGACATTCACCAATAACAAGATAAAGGCTTGCAGTACATATGGCTGCCATGCTGAACAGGAGACTTTCTGTTAGAAATGTACGTCGGAGGAGTGAGTGGCAAAGTTAAAAGCATTGAGGGGTGAAAAAAAGATCCTGCATAGCCTGCAATTCCCAGTCACAGTGGAATGGAAGAATGACACCCAGAGACAACACATCTGCTATGGCAAACTTCCTGGGTCATACTAAATATTAACAACTTTTTCATTGTAAATCACTCTTTACTGAAGCTTTACTGCCAAGTATTTATACATACTGTTACATAGTGGTATAAATGTACAGTTCTCTTTGATGTTCCCTGTTTTTTTTTTTTAATATTGGTGTATCTTTAATTAAAAATTTAAAATAATGGATCCAGAGTACCCTAGGTAAATCCCACAGTATTGCAGAATAGATTAGTATCTGTAACAATTGTTTCAATTTTACAAGATAATAATAATTACTGATTTGAGATTACAGTTTTAAAGACTTTTTCTTGTCTTAAAGACAGTATCTGTGGTTTTGCAATGAGCACAGTTGACACATTTAATTTATATCATTTATTCAATGTACTTCACATTGCCATTCCCCTGGAAGGTGTATGTTGAAATAATCTCAGACAGCGCAAGATATCTACAGCCTAATAGTCTGCATATCACATGGAAAATATATTAAAATTTGTAAATCATTGTTTTCTGCAAAGAATTGTTTTTAATTATCTACATTTTGATAACTGAAACTTACAATATTATAACCCTTTCTACATTTTTGACAGGTTTTTCTTCTCAGTTGATAAAACTCACACAGCTTGTGAGATAGACAAGCTGCATCAAAATTTTCAGTAATTCATTTTGATTCAAAGGGAGGAGATCTTGGACCAAAAATAAAGGCAAACAGTCAACTGCTTCACTGAGACATTTGGAGGACAAGTACAGCTGTGTTTATGCACATTTATCTCCTACATCTTACATAAATATGAAAAGTTTAATTTCTTAATACATCAATTTTTCTGTCTCAGTCTTTAAAGTATATTGATATGATGTAGATACTAGTTAAGAAGCACTTCACAACTTTGGAAAAACATGCAGCTCATAAAACAAGAAAAAGGGCCTGGATGGTCTTTTACATTTATTGTACTTCACGTTAATAAATAGGAGAACAACTATTAAAACTCTTTGAGAGATTTTCCCTGTTTGGGATTAAATTTAAAGTCATATTAGTTACTTCTTTGTATTGTAACACAATAGATCACAATTACAGCATAGCTTATAGGCAACAGTGTTTGCTTTTGCCAATCTTGTCTATTGAAAAACAAAAACATCTAAGAGACAGAAATCTGACATTTAGAATTACTTGATGCTTTAAGTCCAGCAGCTGAGGCTGTTTCTCATTGCAAAATACTTCTATTTTGAACACTTTTTAAATTTTTCGTTTGTTGTCGTTCAGAATGTGTATACAAAAGCAAAATCAGCTGGAGGCAAACATCTGGTGCACTGCCAAAGGCATGGCGCATATGAGGTAACAGCAGCCATGTAACTCTGCACTGAGGGTTACAACACAGCAACCTTGGATTTGGTTGAGTTTGTTGTTGTTTTCCTCGGAGGACTAGTTAGAGAGATTCTAAAATAGTAGCTCTCCGATTTTGTTCAGCTATGTCAGAAAGAAGTTGAATAATCCTCCTTTATTTTAAACCAGTAGGGGGTTTTTTATGTTTTGCTTCGTCTATGATCTGGAATGTATTTAATTCACTTTAAATAATTACTGTTTCCTGAGGTTGTGTCTTCTTTTTGTTGATTTCTTTATGTACATGTTCAAAAAAATCCTGTTCATTTATGAAGGTGCTTGTCTGTGTGAGGGGATATCATGAAGCAATGGCTGACATTTCAGTTGACTTATATTCGTCTCTCTTAAAGTCAGCATTAGGTATATCATATGAGAGGGGATGTTGACTTGCTTCTGCTATCAGTAACATCAAAGGTATTTTCTTTAAGGACTGTTTAAAGTACCGGATCTATAATCAAAAGGCAATCATAAAAAATTACGTTATCTTTCAGGCTCACCTTCTTGCCTTCTAAAATAGCTGACTTGCATTCAGTAAAGAATTCTTAACTGAAGGGGAAAGCGCATGAAAAAACCCTGGCCAGATCAAAATAACTCCTAGTTATTCTAGTTTATAACACCTGAGTACCTCATTCACACCAGCTCTTTCCCAACTATTCAATAGTCTGTTGCTCTCGCATGTGTAGTACTACCTTGTTTTGAAAACATTAATAAATTTGTGTAATGTAGAGCTAAACAAACTTAGCCCAAATTTCTTTCGTCACTTTTTAAGACAGAAAAGGTCTCAAATGCTCTCAAATAGAGAAATCAGACAGGAAATCTTGAAAGTGATGAAAGAGAGACTGGATTACAACACTGGCAAAATGTAACAAGGAATCGGAATGTAAATTGTTAAGCAGGAAGGATAAGATCGCTCTTTCATATATAAACCTATTACCTCAGTGAGGGACAAGAACCCTTGTGCCATATATTTCTGACTAGAGTATGCTAATCTAAGGAAAAATTTCAGCATATAGCATATATGAAATAAAAGGCATAAAGCTACTTTATAATTCTTTTCTGATTTTCATAATGGATTGTTACCTACATGTTCTGTTTAAAATAAGTGAGATCTGTACATTTAGTGACTGGACCTAGTGCCTAGTGTTGTCTCTCAGAATGCATCTCTTCAGCCATGCACTATGGTGAGAGAGAAGAGGGTCTCAGATCTGGCCAACGGAAAGCAAATCCTTTCCTCTGTGTAGTTGTATTTCTCTTTCCTGTTACATTGGCAAGTTGAGCATACCCTACTTCTATACTGCAAATTTCCATGTAGTGCTCAGTCTTATAACCAGGTACACTGAAAATAAAGATAATTAAATATGTTTAAAATATCATTATGAAAACTGTACAGTGTTGCTGAAACATCTTTTTATTTAGCAAACCGTTGATAACAAAGGTATTTCAAACAGAGGGGAAAAGCAAAAACTGGTTCCATGATTATGTTTTCAAATGCACGTAACATTTGGCATGTCAGTCTACTGCCCTCAGGTACATAAAGATTTTCTATTTTTATGTAATGAAACCAAGATCTCTTCAGAACTGATGGTTTTGTGGTTTTTTACTGGAACAATAACTCTTGCCAAGGTAACAGAAGCCTCTGCAGTCCACTACATAACGTGTTTTTCAAAAAAAAGCAGAACTTTAAATTTCATTCATATTATTCTTAAATGACTTAGTGTAAAGTCAAACGGTAAGAAAAAGAGAAATGTCAGTTGAGATGATAAGAAATTTCAAGGCACAAATACCTGCTCTTCACCGCTGACTAGGGGAAAAGTCCAAAAATGCCGGCAGGCCATGTCATCCCTCTGTACACAGCTAGAATCAACGGCTACAGTCACCAGCTAAGGTTAGTGTGGGAGACGATTCTTTTGTAACTGTATAATGAAGTAGCAGGAAATAACATGGTGAAGAATCAAGAACTGAAAGGTACTCTGCAGTATTTGTCGGACTGCAGTATTTATGTTACAGTCATGTGACAGAGGTAGTGGAAAGGGAGAAAAACAATCACCAAGGAAATAATGCTTAAGGCAAATGCTACCTAGGAGAGCATCTCCTACATCAAAAAACAACCCTCTTTATTAGGCTTCAGTAGATAGCCACCTCACCTCACTTATCACTGAACCTTGGCTCTGCAAAGTACAGGTCTTTAGCAAAGCCACACAGAAGGCTTCTTGTAAGCAGAACCCCTATGTGACAGGGTAACGCAGCTTTGCCCCAAGTCGTCATTCACCATAAGTGCAGACTCTGTGCTGCTCAGGTCGTCTTTTTGTAGTCTCTGTGGAACAATGCTATACTTCAGAAATAAAATACTGGCACTAGAAGATCATTGCAACGCAATGAAACAGAGGGAGAAATTGTAGGATCTGGAGGAGTACTCCAGCATCACAGCAACAAAAGAGCTGACACAGTCACCATAAAGGGGAAAGAAGGAAGCATGAGGCATCCTTACTGCTTTTCCCCATCTCCAGTATCTTCTCCATAGGTACACTTCTTCAGGTGGAAGCAGTAGCTGCAGGGGGAAAAAACTTATTTCAACTGCTGCAAAATATCTCTACTCTTGGGACAGTAGACAAAGAATTGACTTCCACACCATCCGCTGTCTTCATGAAAAGAGAAGCAGAGCAGGAAGGCACAGGATGAAAAGCATGGGCTGTACGTAGCAGAACAGGGCCACAGGGAGGGAAAAAGCCCAAAGCAGTGCCTGGAACCAGTGTCTTTTCTTCCTGCACTAAAAAGAGATATGGCCAAATCCATGTCACTCCTTGTAAGGCCAAAAACTTCAGAACCTTGAGAGAGGATAAGAAACGTCCCTCAGAGGTGCAGTAGATATACTCAGCTACCACAGTACCAAGCTTCTGCTTAAATTCTGAATAGCAAAATGCATTTTATTTTTAAAACTACATTCAAATGTCATTAAAATAGGCTTCCATGCTTAGAGGGCTGGCTTCTTTCTCTATAATGCTAATAAACTAGAGGAGGCTTGAAGCAGAAAGGGAAGAACAGATACTGCTGTTTTACTGTTTAGAAAGTAGTTATTTTAACACATAATAAAGCACATTCTACTTTCAAGGAGTTTTGACAGCAAGCACTATTATTTAGGCAGGTTAGTGGAATTCAGGGACAACATGGGATTTAATTACTTTTTTGTCTCAATCATATACAGGTTTTCTTTGTATTCTCTTTAACAGAGTTTGTTCCAAAATCTTTTTATAGGCTGCTTTATGAAGAATGCTTTGTGATGTGTGAGAGATTATTCTGTTTACTCGTTAGAAAGACTTGTATTTAGGTGATTTAGATGTGCACTTTACATATGAGGAGTAAGGTATAGCTTCCACTTTGTACTATAACCCCCTACGGAAATGTAGGTTGATAATGTAGATAAAATAGAATATAATAA